GCGATGGGAATGGTGGAGTGACACGTCACCAAAGTGCGAGTTTTCGCCAATCAAAATCCCCACCAATGGCGGAATCGATTTGCATGGCTTCTGCCACGTCGTCGCTGTGCGTGCGGGTGGCGTCACCTCGGTGGCGGGCAGACTACTACTGAGCAGACTTATTCAAGGCAGGCAGGTCGGTCAAGCACGGTGCGCCAGCAAGGACTCTGTATCTGGCACGCACGTCGGCAAACGTGCAGCTGGGATGCTATCCGCCAGCGGATGACACAGTCGAAATGGAACATCACTTCTCGCGGAATCGAGCAGAGTGGACGTACGTCCTGTAGGAACTGCAGCCGCGCCCGCCCCTCGTGCGCGACGCAAACGAGCGTAGTTGCTTGTGCGAAATTGAAGCTCCTCACATGACGGATGCCGCCGGCCGCGATACACGTCCCCCGGCAATCACAAACGCCACGGCTCGCTGGTCGGTCTATCTGACACCGTCCTGCTTGCGTGCACGCGGAACATGTCCGTGTGCTCGCGTGCGTGTGATTCCTTTTCGACAACACGGCTCCTTCGAGAGCAACGTGGCACGATTCACCGCCCTGTCGTTCCTGACGGCGACGTCGACAGGCCACCGAAAACGGATTTCTTAGCCAAACGCGGTCGATTCAAACCCGCAAATCGTGAGTTCCCCATACGACGGCTTGCACCAATTCAACTCGGAGACGCCTAGAGTGCTCCAGCATTCCAACAGTGCAAGGTGTGGCTACAAGCGAACCGCTGGACCGACCGCCTTGGCGTTCCACAGTGCTTGGAGCTCAGAGGCATGTAGTCTTGAAGGATTCATTGGTTGGCGAGAGCGATGGCCGAACGTCAGGACCAAGCTAGGTCAGCCGTGTCGAGTTCTCGACAGAACTCGTGCATGACGGTCGGTTCGGGCGCAGATCAAGTTGACAACCGCGACCGCAACGATCGAGTCGAATGATGGACACTTCACGTCATTCGACGCCCCGCGGTCCCCTCCCGGTCATCTCCAACGACAACGACAACCCTGGCTCCATGCATGCATGGTGTTCGTACGTGATCCGATAGGATCACACTGACATGCCCATCCTATTTGAATCCGATTGGATTTGCGTGCCCACCATCGAAGGACGTACGGCTGCTTCTGTTCATGGGGCGCGTCATGGCGAACCATCACTGGAGCCGCTGACGGCCATCGAGGAAAGGGCCCGGTGCGTCGAGCGCAACATCGCCCGACGCGAACAACACCGTGTACTACCAATGGATGTTCATGACGTCGTTGTCTCGACGGCAGCTGTACGGAGTTGATAGCGCCGGCGAAAATGGGAAGTGATTCAATTGCCATCGTGAAATCGTTCTAGCTAAAAATGACTTTGCAGTACTCAAGCGGCCGTATCGCGGGTGCGCCTCGCTGCCGTCTCCTACCGACGTCGCTCACTCGACGTCGCGACTTCATGAGTTAGATCCGTATGATCACTAAAGCACCTGTGTACGTTCAACTAGAGTCAGCGACTAGCCTGCCATAGGGACTGCGCGATGCAGACCCACTGGAATTCGCCTTGGCGGAACCACTGCCACCCAAATTGCCAAGCATCGGGGCCATCGACCTGGGTTGGAACATGCATCGACGGATGAACCCGACGCACTACACGCACGATGAGGGTCTGGTTGAAGAAATAAACGTGCTTGGGGCAACTGTGCTGGTCGGACCGTGGCCGCGAGTTTGCGAAGGATGCGCGAAACCTTGAGAGCGACGAGCGGCTTGTGTACAGCCGCGGCCGCGGTCGCAGGCGGCCGCAGTTAAATACATTGGGTGAATGAGCCGTGGGTGGACCATGGCGACGACCACGAGAAGCGTACAGGTTGGCTGGCAACCGTGGCTTCAAGTCGTGGGCTTCGAGCGCATTTTTTGCCGACTGTTTGACCGCGTGAGAGCGCTGCTCACGAAAACTATCCACGCGTCGTTGTTGCGATCGATCAGTCGCGTTGGCAATTTCGATGTTTGGGAAGGTTGGCTGATGTACATCGTGCTGAGCACACAACATCTCATGCATGTTGTTTGTCTGTTGGGAGCTGTGTCTTGCGAGAACCCAAACGGTCGCCCGACGATTCGACGGTGTGGACAGCCAGCAATGACAAGTCGTGGAGCCGACGGCAGGATGGGAGGCCAAACTTGGGGTTCGGCATTGCTCTCTATCGGACCTGCACGGCCGGCATAGCCTCTTCGTGTATGAACTAGCGACCCCAAATGTATTGCTGACGACAAGCTGCTGTAGAGGATCCTCTGACGTTTGTTGGAAGTACATGGAAGTATGTACAAGGGTCGCATCTGGAGCCGTACCACAACCGGTCGTGCCCAGGAAATGGGTATGCCGCGCGAATACTTTGCGAGACCCCCAAGCGCCGGTCGTTCCGTCGACTGGAAACGATCGGAACCCCTTCGACCTCCTAGGGACGTTTTAATGCACGTGTGCGCGTTTGGCCGGGACGGTCCGTGGGGACCACCAGTCCGCTTGCAGGCGTTGTAGGATGTGGGCTGCGATGGATACGATGTAGACATTGTTGGAGGCTGGTATGTCGCATGCATAGGCTTGACGCGAATACACACACGCGATATCCAGGCGTGCTGCCTTATGACTGGCGAGCCAGGTGTCCATCGTAGAATGCTGTCTCCCGTGCAGGCCACCAAGAGACTTCGAAGAGCCTGCACTGGATCCCTTGCGCATCCAGCGACCGTTCGCCGCCTCGGGTGGACGGCGCAGAACAACGACGTGTTTCTATCGTGACTTGCCATGACTAAAACCATGGTGGAACGAGGTTGGACGGCAGCTTTGCTGTCGCGACTTCGATACGCACCGGCGACAAACGAATCCAGCTGCCGGCATGTCGCCGCTATGTCCCGCGACAAAGGTAGGAGTCGTCGCGGGCAGGATTTCGAGTAGTTCACTTTTGTACTTGCATCGCTCACTTGCTCCAACCATGAAGTCTACTTTTGCACTGACTGTCGTCGCCGAGGCCGTCTTGGCTACGCTCGACGAAACGTCTGTGTTGCTCCCAAGCGTCGTGGGGCTCCCACCGTTCTGCACGTTCACTTCGTACCCCCGAGGCGTTGGCACAGTGCCCAAGTCATGCGCGCCAGGCCAAGAACGCATTGGAGTGTTCTGCTACGACGATTGCCCGGATGGCATGTCTCGTAACCACCTCGACTGCCATTCGAATTGCCCCCAACGCGAGGGCCAAGTCTTCGAGGACCATGGCCTCTTTTGCCGCTTGAGCGAATACTCCCGAGGAGCTGGCTACCCTTGGAGGGCGAACGACGGTCTCAGTTTCAACGGTGCGATGGAGCGTTGTGAAGCGAAACACGGCAAGGACAAGTGCGAGAAGTATGGTCTTATGGTGTACCCCAAGTGCGCGGACCGGTACAGCGCCTTTGGCTGCTGCCTTTGCCGCCCCAATCCACCAGACTGCGAGGAGCTTGGACTGGGTAAAAACTTCGACCTGTCCTGTGCAAAGAAGATCGTCATCGGGAAGCCCGAGTTGGGCGTGTGTGCGTCGGACGAAGAGCTTGACACGGGGCTATGCTACGAGAAGTGCAAGGAAGGCTTCTATGGCGTCGGACCGGTCTGCTGGACTAGTATCCCGTCTGGTTGGGCCAGTTGTGTCACATTCGCTGCCAAGTCCTCGTCGGACTGCGCCGAATGGACCGACATCCCGGGGGGGTACCCAACGTGCGATCAAGTTACCGCCCTAATGTTGCGCACCCTCGAAAATTAGCAATCACGTCGTATATCCATCCCACCCGAGCTTGATTGGACCTACTTGGTTGGGATGGTTAAGCAGGATGGTTTCACGGGATGTGCAATAATCGATGTAAGCGTTGGGCCGTTTAGCGGCGTGCGGAAGCTCCCGTCATGATTCGCTTCAGGTGTCGAAATCGCGTGCCAGGATGTACACACGCACGACTTCTATCCAGAGCCTTCACGTCGACGCGCCGTTGTCGACCCGATTCTCCCTGTGCCAACCCCGAACTCTTCGATAAATGGGCTACGTCATCTATCTGCTGCACTCGCTCCGTTCCAAATGGAGTGTGCGATTTGATCCTGTTTACACAAGTGCCTACCACACATCAAGTTGAATCCACCGTGCTGACCATCCATACGGCCGCAACTGTGTCTCCACCAACGGATGGCTCTCGTCGTCCATCACAAACGCACCACGACACACGCAACTCTTCAGACACTTGCCGTTCCGCAGCAAGTTGTGCTTGTACACCACACCCTGTGATGTCCCAAGCTGCATCTCCAGGCGCTGATTCGCCACGTTGCCGTCGGCGACGTCGTTGACCTGCCGCACATCCAGTCAAGCCGATCGTTGTGGGTGGCCTTGGCATACTGAACGACGTACAATGTCGGTGACGATTCTCTGAACGACGTACAATGTCGGTGACGATTCTCTGCATGGCTCCTGCCACACTCTTCCCCGACGTCCACATACCACGCAGGATCGTTTTTTCTCTTGCGCGTGTGTTTCGTAAGCTGTGGCGATGTCGTCTCGTTGCAGGCGCGTTAGTGCTCTGTTGTCATCGAGCGGCCACCAAACGGGCTGCAGCAGTGCCGAGCCGATGCCATGTGGAACAACTTGTCGCTGAGCTACTGGCAGCCGTATTTTGTTGCAATAGAGTTGGCGAGGAGTCGTCACGACGAGCGATGTGGAATACTCTGGGCACATGTGTTATGTGTCAGTAGAGGAGAAAAGGTAACTGCGACCTCACATGGGGTAGGGCACTACCCACGAAGTTAGCATTGTCATGAGGGCTTGCTGGCGATACCCCTGTTCTCGAAGCGACTTGTTTTGGTTGTAGTGTATGAAGAACATCCGTCGCGAGCGCGATTTGTTTGAATTCTTCGCGACGATGGCTTGTACTTGTGTCTGAAGGTGCTGGAGCTAACTCCGTAGTGCCACAAACTCTGGTTTTTTCATTGCTCGGTACTTGCGCTTGCGATGGCGCACGTTCCGCCGGCGCATCAGGGACATCGGACCGTCGTCGTCGTGCAGGATATTGACTGTGAGTGCCCGCACAGTTTTGTAAGAGATTCAAAATATATCAGTCAAAATTGATTCCTCCCAGCTAAAGACAATTTAAACGTATCGCACTTGCCAAGCTCTAAGAACGGTGAAGTTGAGTATTTTTATTGAATATGTAGTTATACCGAATATTCTATGGTCTTAATATATGACATTCACAATCCTGGGTCCAATACTTTACATATGTTCAATACTGTTCCGCGAAATTTGTCATGTTGTACTACCTCCATCCGAAAAAGAATGTCCGACTTCAACAAAACACAAATCTGAAAAAGAAGAGAAGTTTCGGTAGAATCTCTTCCGCTTCCTCTTCCGGTTCCCACAGCATGTTTTGAAAAATCTTCAAGAACCCTTACAGAAACT